CATGTTAACTACTATTCTTACTATTTAATTTTATTTTTTATTAATATTATTATAAATAACTTTAATCTATTCAGTCTCATGTAACTGAATAGACTTTTATTCATGTAATTACCACCACATATCAATTTCTTATGGATAGAGATCTCATATATGATTACTTTGAGGTTCTTCCTGGCTATAAGCTTCGATGTCATATCTGTTCTCAATGTTATCTGAATATATTATCACGTGTGGACAATCTTAGCCAGCATCTTTGTAAAGAGCATAAAGAAGCATTTGAAGAGCTTTCTCTAAAATACTTTTTGCGAGATTATGCATACCTTCAATATAATTAGACAACAGGAAAACATGATTATGTGAGCACAACGGAGTTTTTTACCAAATATGAATGTCTTTTTTTGCACCATGGAATTTTTTATTATAACCTTTCAAAGATTGATTCTCCTTGGTCGATTCAATGTTTGGTGATGGCTGCTCATTTACTTCATGTGAAACTTTATTCACCACCATTGATGATGGTTATTGAGTAAGAACATTTGCAATAACCATAATCAATAAAATTTGTATTGTTTAGTTTTTTTAGTATTAAATATATATATATATATATATTTATTAAATTTGAATATATTATCAATACGAATCTATTTAGTCGCCATTGACCAAATAGATTTTTATCTATATGCGAATGATTAATGATGACAACTTCAGAAAAGGTGAGTTGGCTGTGCCATTTCACTTGGTATTTGTGATTCTGAAGTTACGCTGTCATAGGGAGATAGGAGCGTGTTTTGAGCACTTCATGTTAAGGACGTGTTCTATTATCTCCCGAGAAACTGAGATAGAGATTGAAGTTATACCTTCGAGACGGCTATATTGCAAACACTGATGAATAAGAATCTTGTGCTGATCGTTTTTATTCATTATTTCAGCTTTCAAACTACAGGATTGGTTATGATTTCGAATCGGCCGTATGCAAAATGTTGGAGGTGAATGGAATATTGGCTAATGAAATTAAGGTGGGTCAGGGTGACAATGGGATCGATATCATTGCGACGTACAAGGAAAAATTGGTCTTGATCCAGTACAAGGACATGGTATCATCGATAAAAGTTTCGTTTGTTAGGGATTTTGAATCTGCGATTTCGAGATATCCTTCGGATAGTCTTGGTACCATTGTCTACAATGGTGAAAAGGTGGGAAAGAACTACGCAACACCAAAAGCAAAACAATGGGCAGCTATATCTAAAACAAATATCATAATCTGCAAAAAAGAGAAATTGATCCAAACCATCAAGGATTTTTTCAAGGATAATGAAGTTGATGGTGACGTGGAGATGTTGGATGTGAAGGTGAGCAAGTTCAATATTAGGGGACTTGTAGGTGAAAATATCACCATTGGCAAGATAATTTCCAGGAAGAGAAAGAGGGCTTGAGCATTTTATTTTTTATTTTATTATATTTTATTTTATTTTTATTTTCAACGAAAGCGGAAAATGTAAATATTGAAAGTATTTTAATAAAAAAAAGCAACGATTTAACCCTTATTAAGTCTGCTCAGTGCTGTATATGCACCGGGCAGCTCTCTTAGCCCGTCAACATTCAACAAGTCTGATCAAGATGTTTTTGACCAATTCATTGATCCCACATTATGTGAAATGATCCCAAAATTGGATAAAGGTAAAGAAAAAGAAACTGCTAAGAGAAAGTATTTAGATCTTCAAGACCAATCTTCCACGAAAAAAACCAAAAAAAAATGATGATGATAAGATCATCGATTTAACCGATTTACCAACATTGGAAGAAAAGAAATTTAGCAAACAGCTAACGCATGGCCCAAAAAAACTCGGCAAGGTTATAGTCGTATTCGGAGCTGTTGGTGCTGGCAAATCTCGCTTCTCAACCATGTTTAAGGAGCATTGTGAAGACCGAGGTCTTTCCGTCTATTTTTCTACTGAACTTTCATTATGGTTGCGTGAGGATTTTAAGTTGTTTAATTCAAATCCAAAGAAATATTCGTTTTATTTTCAGGATCTTGTTGTCGAGACTTTTGCTGAATCTATGGGCATGATCGAACAGATGCATGCTTATTATGATATGTTGCTTATTGAACGAACTAACTTGTATACTAAGATCTTCCTCAATATTGATGATCCATTGAAGCTCGAGTATCTTGAAAAGAAAAATGTCCTGATTCCGCTCTTCAAGGCCGATTATTATATTCATATTCGTTGTCCTCCTGGTATCTGTGTCAAATGTCAGCAGAAGCGTGGGCGTGAGGATGAACATTATACACCCGAATATGTGATGAAGCTCTGTCTGGAATACGAACGCCTTGCTCCCGAGCTTTATCCAAATCGAATAGTTTTCAATTCGACCTATAACTTGGAAGCTAAAGATCCTCTCGAGGTGGAGGAAGCAAATGAGCATTATCAGCTCTTCTTTAAGCAGCTCATTTAGTTTTTCTTTATTTTTCCAGAGATGTATTATAACTACGATCAAATTACAAATAAACAAAATTGATTATTCAGTTTTTTAACCGATTAATTTTTTTCTTATGTAAATCTTTAATTACAATATCAACTTATAATTACAACAATGAAAAACTTAATGCGTTATCTGAAAATAAGGTGACAGTTTTTAACGATCATGTAAAAACTTTGTATCAGTCGTGATCCAATCATGATCATCATCTGTATGTGGAAACGTTGATCAAGCTTATAAACTATACGTTTTCGAATGTGCTGAACCACAAGTTTAAACAGTACGCTACTATGTTGCGGAAGAACTAGTACTCGGCAAAATCAAACAAAAACTCGATTATCGAGTTTTTGAATCTATCGATTTATAGTATTATACTTCAATTATAAGATCTATGTTTACTCTAATCTGACTTTAAACTTCATGCTAGTTACCACGAAGTCTAAAGTAAGATCGATTCCTGTTAGATTTATATAAATATTAAAAATAAAATTTGTATTTAATGCACAATATTGTAAATTGATAGATTTAAAAACTCGATAATCAAGATTTATTTGATTTTGCCGAACATTTACCTGAAGTTACAACTTCAAGCACCTGAAGTTGCAGCTCTAGACATCTAAAGTTATAACTTCAGATACCGAAGTTACAATTTTATATATTTGAAGTTACAATTTTATATATTTGAAGTTACAACTTTAAAAATTTAAAATTACAACTTCAAATATCTGAAATTTTAATATTATATATTTGAAATTGTAACTTAAGGTATTTAAAGTTGTAACTTCAGCTAAAATTGTAACTTCAAATATCTAGAGTTGTAACCTCAGGTGTCTGAAGTTGTAACTTCAGATACCTGAAGTTGTAACTTCAGGTTTCTAAAATTGTAACTTCAGGTGCTTGAGTTGTAACTTCAGGTACATGGAGTTGTAACTTTAGATGCTTGGAGTTGTAACTTTAGATATCTGGAACTATAACTTCAAATGCTTGAATATGTTTAATAAGTCAAATAGGTTGGATCGAATGAAGCCTGAAGTAGGCCCAAATAATATCCATGTTAGTTTCAAATGGAACCCGAGATAGATTCAAATAGAATATGGGAACTTGAAGGTATTTTTTAAAAAAATGTTTTTAGTTCAAAATTTTGTCTATATAACTATCTTTTAGTTTCTAATAAAAAATTTATTGTGAAATTTACTATATATTATATCTTACCCTAATCTCTGATTACTACCTCTAAACTAATATTCGATAAATTTATTTTTGTTTTATTTTTTGTTTTGTTATTATTACAATCCTTATATTACACGTATATTGGTATTGAATATCACAAGTATATTTAAGTATTTGCCTATTTCATATTTGAAGTAGAGTTTAAATTTAATGTATATCAAGAGAGGCTTGGCTTTGATGCATTTTTGTTTGTTTTTTTTTATCACTCATTAGAGGCTTCGTCTTTTTTAAAGGATTCTATTTTGATGAAAGCTTCAACCTGTTAAAGCTTCATATTTCATTTTTTTTGTCGTCCTTTGTTATTTCATTATTCCGTCACTTGTAATTCTAAGTTTCGTCAATTACGAAATTCTATATTCTGTATCAGGTATAGTATAAATATTGTGTATATAAAAGTACGTTTAAACCAGAGGCTGCATGTTATTGAAAAGCCCCGATCAATTTTGCACAGCCTTATGCGATACATAAGGGCTTAACTTGAACAAAGTCATAATATTTTAACGTCTTTACATTTGATAATAGCTCTATGTCTTTCTGAAAATAAAAGTAATTTCACAGTTGTGTCTCTGTTTATAGCAATCTAGTTAGACAAATAGTCACTTTTATTCGTAATATTAAAATTTGTCTTTTTTTTTTTTATTGCTAGAAAGGTTAATATAACAAAAGGTATACGTATTATTGTTGTACTGTATGTCGAATAGAATGTTGTTAAATTTGAAATTTACTTAAGTAAATTCTAAATACGCTTCATTTGAAACGTAATTTTAAATTCACTCAAATTGATAACTAATGTAAATTCCAAATCCATTACTGCATTAGAAAAATTTAATTTTTAGAAAAATCATAATATATATGTAAAGTTGTTTATATATGCATTAGTTTCCGCAAGCAAATTTATCACTTTATATTGCTGATTTACGATATTAAAATTGATTATGGCGGATTAAATCTAATTTAGCTGACACATTCTATTTGCATCGGCGTGTGATGAATTATATGACGTGACAAATAAAAATTAATTAATATATTAATTCTTATTTGTCTCAAAAAATGATCCATCGCGACTCTGTGCCAAATGGAAGACGTCTGTGAAGCTTCTCATACATTTATAAAAGAATAATAATATTCAGAAAATTGGCAGAAGGAATTTCTATGTAATTTAAAGAACTCCACCATTTTAATAACGAGATTCTTTAATTTTCTAAGTTTCATAAACCGATCTTTTCCTAGCTCAACAACGATCATTTGCAATTTTTATAATTTGTTTTAATTGTTCTTGTAGAGCACAGAAATTATAGAGCGATAAAAGTTTTACGACGTTGACTAACATATTTACTGTTGAGAAATTTAGTAATGGTAAGTAAATTTCAAATAGATCGTGAGATATTCTTTTAATTTAATTTTTTTTTTTTGTTAATTTAATAAATAATTGATGAATATAATTTATTTTATTGATTTGATTGTGATCTGTAATTAATTTTTGAGTAATTTTAAAATCTACTCTGAAGATGAATTCGAATTTCTAAAAATCGAGTCAATTTAGAATTCCGTTCAGCGTATACCAAAATTTGAATCTATAAAGATTCTATTTCGACATACACATAATTATTTTTATTGTAATGTT